TCTTTCCCCCAAAATATACAACACTCCTCACTGACAGGTCAGGCACCAGGTTTGCAAAGTCAAGTTTCTTACAGTAAACCTTTTAAACTTTATAGGAGCTGCTGTTAGCTGCTGGATGGAGTCAGAACTGCTGTCATTCTGACTAGTTACCTTGAGGTCAAGAGGAAAGGAACCACCTGAGTCATTTCCCTTTCCTTTGTACCAGCCCCTGCTTTGGGAAGGAAAGTCAGGGTATCTATGGTTGCTATAGGCTGCAATACAACTTAATTTACAAGATATAAATGAAACTTTTACTCAAAACAGTTTACCACTAACAGTGTATAATTATGTCAGGAATATGATCCCATGTAGGCCAAATCACTGTCCTACAGAACGTATGGAATAAATGCGGAATAATTTCCACATAACCATCTTCAGTATGTGGAATTAGAAGTCATGGGGTAACATGAACCTCACTGCTTTATCCAAACCAAACTGCATTTACAAGTAGTAATTTAAAATGCTGGTTTGTCTCTGGTTTATAGGCCATGGTTCCAGAGGACTATTCACTTACAAGGCAATCCCAACTGTCAAAAACAAAAAATCTCTTCTAGAAAAACCTCAGAGGAATAAAAGGGGGGAGGGGGAAGGCACAGGGAGTCAGCTGTATCTAGAGTTGAGATATCTCTTAGTGCCTCAGGGTTACAGCACCATGGATGTATTGAAGCCAGAGAAAAATAAATAAATAGCTTGAATTTAAGGTAAGTCTCAGAAGCATCCCTAGTGACAAACCTGGTGAGAGACAGAAGAGAAGCAGATGTAGTTATTGGACAGGTCTCTCCATTAGGCAGCCATCACCACAACCCTTTGGGTATGTGTGTGTCAGCCTTCGACCCTTGCAGTCTGACCCTGCCATCTGGCAGAGAAGATGCTGACATCGTATTGAGAATGCTGACATCGTATTGATCTAATGAGACCTAAAAAAAAAATAAATCATGCAACGAGTCATTGCGCTTGCTGCCCTGGCCACAGGGTTCAACCAGGAGATTAAAACAAGATATTGGCACTGGCACTTCAAAGGGAAACTGCATCTCTAAAGATAACAGCATTTCTTACAGATGTGGAAGGCAGCTGCAGCCAGGTTAATGCTTATCCCCCCTGCTTAAAAAAAAAAAAAAAATAAATAGCCCAACCACCTTCTGCATATGGTTATGTCCGGCTGCCATATTTATCTTCTCTCTGATTCTCATTGTGATTTTGCTCCATATGAGGTTGATATAATAGTATCTCAAATAACCTGCCATCTGCAACTTTATTTATATTTAGAAAATTACAGTTTTACAATTAGACAGAAGTAAAAAGTGCTTACTATAAGACTACCGACAAATGTAACAATCCTAAGTTTGTTGAGGATCTACAACAATACTCCTTCAGCTTAAGAACAGGTACGGATGCCCTTTTTGACTACCATGTAGAAACTTTTCACAACATCTGATACACCAGTCAGCATCCGCAGTGCTAATCCAACGCCCTGGAGGCTGGCTGAACGGCATTGCGCACAGCTGCCAGCAGGCACGTTGCAACCATAAAACTTTGTGTGATGATTTTGGCTGGGATAGAGTTAATGTTCCTCACAGAAGCTGGCATGGGGCTGTGTTTTGGATTTGTGCTGCAAACAGTGTTGATAACGCAGGGATGTTTTAGCTATCGCTGAGCAGGGCTTACACAGAGTCAAGGCCTCTTCTGTTTCTCACCCCAACCCACTATCGAGCAGCCTGAGGGGGGCACAAGAAGTTGGGAGGCGACACAGCTGGGACAGCTGACCCCAACTGACCAAAGGAGTGTTCCATACCATATGACATCATGCTCAGTATATAAAGCTGGAGGAAGAAGAAGAAATGGAGGGACATTTGGAGTGATGGCGTTTGTCTTCCCAAGTCACCGTTACGCGTGATGGAGCCCTGCTGTCCTGGAGATGGATGAGCCCCTGCCTGCCCACGGGAAGTAGTGAATGAATTCCTTGTTTTGCTTTGCTTGCACTCACGGCTTTTGCTTTCCCTATTAAACTGTCTTTATCTCAACCCACGAGTTTTCTCACTTTTACCCTTCCGCTTCTTTCCCCCATCCCACTGTGGGGGAGTGACTGAGCAGCTGTGTGGGGCTGAGTTGCTGGCTGGGGTTAAACCGTGACACCTTGACAGCTCAGAACTGCAATCATCAAGGACTTTTCTTGTAGATCAGGCAAGTTTCTTGCCTTGGGCCAATCAAGTCTATGAGAAAGGTATTGTAGGAATGATATCTTGCCATGTCTTTTTGTTTCAAGAAGGCTGAGGGACAAAATATTATATTGTCTATTAGATTCATTTAAAAATCTAAAAGAAATAGTTGGACAACATGTACAAAGCAAGCTGCAGGCCTCAGTGTCTCACAGTATTCAAATTAATAAAACTCATGGAAGCAGAACTTCTCCCTAGCTGACAGTTTGCAAGGGCTGAGCATCCACACAGGCTGTGGGAGCTCACTGCAAGCTGCACTGCTACAAAACTTCCTGGATACCATCACTCTGCAGAGCAGTTTCCGCAACTAAGGTTGCGCTTCCACTTTGTTTTCAATCAGGTGCAAGATACCAATACCATCTACCCTGGCAGACTCTTAACCATTTTTTTTTTTCCTGATAGATATCATACAATATGGTTCCACAGTTCACAAAGCTGTGTTTTGCTAAGTTAACATACTTACTATGTCTGGCTTAACTGGAGCACATTCTCCTCCCAGCTCTTCAGAGGAGGACCCTACATGAATTCTGAGCCACTCGCACTCATCCTGTATTCAGATTTACATGGCATCGTATTAGTTGGTTTTGCTGCCACCCTAGCTTATGATAAAAATCTTCCCCAGTCTTGAGTAGTGCAGCTGAGACCCTTTAAGTTCCCTTGCAAAGCTAACAACGTGATGCTTCAGTTAAGGCATGTCTGAGTACCTGAAAAACTGGCCCCTGATCTCACTGGATAAGCAATTGAAAAAACTAGCAACGATCAGCTGAGGGTTCCACTCCCCTTAACATGTATCACCTATATACTGCAATTTGTATCACATTTCACTATGACAACAAGTCTTCAGTCGCTGGAGCCATGCCAGTCACAAACTGAAAGCAGAGCAGTCTTTAGTCTCTACATAAATAAGAAGAAAACCTCTTTCTGTACTGGCCAATGTCATGAGACCCGCTGATACGAGTTGCTGCAAGTTTCTGCAAAAGATTGATAGCACTGATTCCAAGCACAGCCAGCAAAAACTGCTGGCTTAGAGTATAGCACCTGTTATAACACCTAAGGCTAATTAATTTTTTTTTTAATTGAAAAAATAAAATAAAATTAAAAAAAATCAATGTCTTCCTCCAAGTCACCCACTACCACCACCCCAAGCTCAGTTCTTTTAGTTTCTTTTTTGACAATTTTTTCTCCTAAAAGCCCCTATACCTGCCAAAAAGAACTGAGAGATCTCAACAGTTTGCCTGGTACCACTGCAAGTTCAATGGGAAG